CGGTGTCTCTTTCCAAAAAAAAAAAAAACTAAAACAGAAGTTGGTCCCAGGGACTAGAGTATTGCTGTGCTAGTCCTAACCATGCTTTTGTTTCGAATCATAAGGTCTTTGATTCTTTGGCTTACAAAAAGGAAAAATGCATTTGTCACTGCATACAGGGTCATACTAGGAGGAGCATGGGAGAGAGTGACCTTGATAACGAAATGAAATATCAGGAGCCAGCTCAAGACGTTTCAGAGAGGAATTTTAATATGTTTCTTACATGTCGGGGAGTGGTGGCACATGCCTTTAATCCCAGCACTTGGGAGGCAGAGGCAGGCCGATCTTTGTGAGTTCGAGACCAGCCTGGTCTACAAGAGCTAGTTCCAGGAGAGGCTCCAAAACGACAGAGCAACCCTGTCTCAAAAAACCAAAAAAAAATATGTTTCTTACAAATGATTCTTGTGATGTTTTGGTGAAGGAAGTGCCTTGGTTCAAACAGTCTGCCTGAGGCTAAAGTAAGGAGATTTTGATTAATTCCCTGGGAAGAAGAATCCTCAACACAGCGTGAGATAGACTTTGTCAAGTGGATGTTGGTGATAACTCTACTGAAGATGCTTAATAAAAGGGATTCGTGGCTGAGGGGGTGGTGGCACATTGACTTTAATCCTAGTACTCTGAACACAGAGGCCGGCACACCTCTGTTAGTTCAAGGACAGTTTAGTTTACACATCAAGTTTCAGAACATCCAAGCTTATACAGCCAAAAGCAGAAAGCTGGTAAAGATAGAATTAAACAAGGTGTCATGATCCAACCCCAGTAAGCAGCAGAACCTGACAGCTGGGGCATCGTGGTTCTGGCTTAAGAGTTAAGGATAAAAGAAAGGCATTATATTCTGTTTCTTCTTATCTGGGGCTGAAGAATCAGCTGTGATGAGCAAGTTATTAGAAGTATTTAAGCAAAATATGGTTCTGCTGGATACTTAATGCTGGACAGCTAGAGCTAAAAATTTAGTGATGATTACGAGACCAGCATCACTGATGTGAAAATGTCTGGGAAGTGTTTTCTAAGAGCACAGAGCAACTGTCTTCCAGTGGTAGCCACAGTTGTACCTCAACAGGTAGGTGGAGTTTCTAATGTGTTTCACCAGGTGGTAATATTTTGAAGGTATTGATGGATGTAAGGCTTGGCACTGTGAGAGGTCAGAAAAGGACATCACTGAAGGTGCAGTGTCATTCGCAGTTGAATGCCCAGGACTGTAAGGGTCTGGCCAATAGGTGCGGCACCCTAAGGAGATTCTATGAAAAATACTGGTGAAGGTGAAACTTATTTACAACAGAAGACTCCAGTGTCTGGAGAGGCCAGCACTGTGAGATGACCACCAAAACAGCAGTAGCAGTGGAATTGAGCCAGCCAGAGTCTAGAAGACCAGATTTGTGTACTGCAGAGGGCAGAGTCAGTGTATTGACCCAAAGCCTATGGAAGGGTCCTAATGATCTTGAGTGGGCCTTAATATTGGAAAGTTGGAATTCCTTAATTATCCAAGATTTAGCGATCCCAGGGTCATAGGTTACCTGCCAAGGAGAGCTACTAATGTGCAATGGAACCCGCCAAAGAAAAAGAAGTGTGATTTTCTTGACAAAGCTGAACAGGATTAGAAACCTGGAGAGCTATTGGACATGGAATTAGTTATCATTACATTGACTTTTTTCTTTATTGTTACTTGTATTTGTTTCTACTCTAATTCTTTGAGCCATTTAACTTCTGGATCCTGCCCATCTAGGCACTCTTCCTAGGCATGTTGGGCCTCAATTTGGGCCAGTCATTGGTTAGCCACTACACAAATCTTGAGCCACCATTTTCCTGATCTATCTTCCAACACCACAAGTGTGTGTCATATATTTTGTCGATGGCTTGGTTTTATAGTCCCACTACTGGGAACCATATGTGATTACAGAAGATGGCCAGTACAGGCTCCATATTTCTGAGTTATAGGGAGTCCTCACTATAATGACCCTCAAAGATTGCAGAAAGTTGTTACTGCACTGTTTGACCATCATCCATTGAAAGATTTCCTATTCTAGTAATTTCTTGCTGTGTTTTCCCCCTACATACCTACATTTACTCTTATGATCCTCCCTATTCTTGATCTGTGTACTCCCACAAAATCTAGTCTATTTAATAGAATCTTTGGGATCCATGCACCCCCTGCTACAGCCATCTTTGTCACTTACCTTATCTGAGTCTGTGGATTGTACAGTAATTAGTCTTGATTCAACAGCTAATATCCACTTACAGTGAGTACACATCATGTTTGTCTATGTAGTTTGGATTTACTTGTTCAGAAGCAAAAGACCTCAAGCAACACATCTAGAAATAAATTAATTGAATAAAAATGTGGTACAGATTTAAACAAGGAGTTCTAAGTAAATGAATCTAAACTGTCTTAGAAACACTTAACTACATGTTCAATATACTTAGCATCAATCAAATGTACATCAAAAGAGCTTTTAGAATTCACCTTATACCTGTCAGAATAGATAGGTTCAAGAACATAATGGAAAACGCATGCTGGCAAGGATGTTGAATAAGTAGAACGTTGATTGGCTAGGATCAATAACACAAGTGACATCGAATACTGGCAAAAAATGGACAGAAAGAAACACTCCCCCATTGTTGCTGAGAATGTAAATCCGTATAGCCACTCTTGTAACCAATATGGCAGTACCTCAGATAATTGGGAATCTATCTATTTTAAGACTCAGATAAACCACGCTGGTAGTTTGAATGCAGTGAGACCCAAAAATCTCCTAGGGAGTGAGTGGCACTATTAGTTGTGGCTTTATTGGGCTGGGTTATGGCCAAGTCAGGTCAATATCATGATTGTTATAAGAGACTTTACATTGAAACACTTCAGGAACTGTTCCAGCCTATGACAGTCATTGAAGTTAGAGTAAATACGTGTTATCATGGGATGACTATGAATATTTATGCATCAGGGTCAGAATGTAGTTGATCGAAGGAAAAGGTCCCAGATTAGAAGAAGTGGTTGAACATTTGTCATTCCGGGGTGCTCTTCTTTGTTGTAACATTGACTAGGAGAAATCTTTTGGATGAAATTCCTATATTGGGGATTGGATTTACATCTTCATAGCCTGAACCTATTTCTGGTTATGTGTGTCCTGATGTTATGACTTCACCGCCATTATAGATGGTGTCACTCAATGACAAAACATGCAGTTGAAGCAATTCCTGTTCACCCTTAAGCCTTTTACTATCCTGATTTCTATTTTAATTTTTGGTTTTTACTTTTGATTTTGAAAGACAATGTTTTTTCTGTGTAGCTCTTGGTCCTCAGTGTAGCTCCTTAGACCATGGTGTTCTCAACTCAGAAATACAAATGATCCTGGCTATTGCACAGAGGGATTAATGGCGGAGCAACATGCTTGTTATTTTTCTGTCTTCTTTTACTGTCTGATGAGCCTGGAATATACGTTTTTGTACATTTCAAGAATAAGTTTCGTGCCGGGCGGTGGTGGCGCATGCCTTTAATCCCACCACTCGGGAGGCAGAGGCAGGCGGGTCTCTGTGAGTTCGAGGCCAGCCTGGTCTACAAGAGGTAGTTTCAGGACAGGAACCAAAAGCTACGGAGAAACCCTGTCTCGAAAAATCAAAAAAAAAAAAAAAAAAAAGAATAAGTTTTGATGCTGAGCTTATTGAAATGTGAAGTTTGGTGGAGGGTATCATTTCCTTTCCCAGGAGAGTAGTATGCATGACATCAGTACCTCTGCCATTTGCATCCTTGCACTGCTGGGGCGTGACTTTCTACGTGCCTCTATTTTTTTTTGTTGTTGTTTTGAATTCTTTCAATGAATATGAGGTTGTATCTGTATACAAGGGTATGTACCACAGGCATGCCTGTTTCTCACGGTTGTCACAAGAGGCGTCAGAACCTATGAAGTTGAAGTAATGGATAATTTCAAGTCCCTATTAGTACTGGTAATTGTGCCCGCTTATCTGCAAGGACAGCAAGACCGCTTCTTTGCTGACCCATCTCCCTTACTCTGTGTTGTTTATGATCATCATTTGCAGGGCTGAAGTTTTCTTTGGTCCATTTGTAAGTGTTAAACATGCACTCCCTTTTAAGATCTTATTATGAAACAGTTTAACCTGGGCCACTGCAAGTTCTGGAAGATGAACGTAGAACTAAAGTAAATACAAAACTTTTTATAAGAACTTAATTTAAAACCTCTGATTTCCTTTTACATTTTTTTTGGGGGGGGGGTTTCGAGACAGGGTTTCTCTCTGGCTTTGGAACTTGTCCTGGAACCAGCTCTGTAGACAAGGCTGGCCTCGAACTCACAGAGATCCGCCTGCCTCTGCCTCCCGAGTGCTGGGATTAAAGGTGTGCGCCACTATCGCCCGGCTTCCTTTTACGTTTTTTATTTAAATGATTATGGATGGATACTGGGTTTTATCAATTTGTAAATCTGGCTTACCTGCAAGCCATTGCATAGGCTTTGACCGACATCAAATTCAATTTATTTCATCTGCTTTTTTCATTGATCACTGGGATTAAAGTCACAAGTGAATATACCCAATTTTGCCATCCTTTTTCTAGATAATCATTGGTATTATTATTTCTGTAATGTTTTCTCAGTAGTGTTGATCTGCTTGCTGTTTGTCTCTGTATGTTTGTTTATTGGCATTTCTTTCTCAAGGCATTTCTTTCTCCTTTTTAAAGGGTCAACGAATGGTACATATGAGCCTCTTCTTCAGTTTCCATCTACAGTGACTTTTCTTTATATTCTAATGCAATGGCATGGAAGAAGTGTGGGAAGCAGCAGCAATATACAAATATATCATTGTAAAAGAAGTATCCTGTGTCAGGATCACACTTTGATTTATTGTTGATTGGATTCTTCTAGAACTCAGTGACCTATGAGGATGTTCACATTGACTTCACTGAGGAGGAGTGGGTTTTGCTGAATCCTTCCCAAAAGAGTCTCTACAAAGATGTGATGCTGGAGACATACAGGAACCTCACCGCTACTGGTAAGATTGTGAACTTTCCTTTACATTTAAAATAAGGGGACTACCCTGTATTATTTATTGATACCTTTTTATATTTTTGTTGGAGAAAGAGTAAGAATGAGCCAAATAACTAAGGCATAGTTCACTTAAGGTATTCAATTTTGTACAATATCCTTTAATATATTGTCTACTTTCTGTTCCTTTATTTTAGGCTACAGTTGGGAAGACCATAATTTTGAAGAGTATTGTCAATGTGCTAGAAAACATGGAAGGTAATTTTTATTTGCAACTTGGTGTATATTTGTCTCTGAAGAAATTTTAATTTGTCCTGGAAGATTTAAAGAAAAAAATAGTACAAATAAGCATGCCATAACGTATATGGTTTATTATTAATTTCTCAATAATCATATGCCTCAATATGAGGTAAATGGTGTGTGCATTCCTCTAAACAGAAGAGAAGGAAACAATGTCTTAACTGATGCTACCATGAGAATTATACTGTAGAGCTGCTAATCCATTTAGTTTCATACCACTCAGATAACACATAGACACATTGAATATATAATAAGGATATGTTTAAAACTGTGCCAAAAATACTCTGTAGTAGAGCGCATGTTACTCATGTACTTGTGACTTTGCCAAACTTGTTGAAAGAGTTGAGTCATGAGAGTAAAAAACGCTCTTGTGGAGAAACATTAATTCCTATACCGCATGTCTGTGAGGAGCAGAAAGTCATACTGTGTGAATTCAATGTACAACCATTTATTTCTTCTTCCTTTATTAAGAATGTCATATGTCACAAGTCAGCTACCAAAATGGAAAGAGAGACTGTATCTCTTTCAGAATAATTGGAAGATAGGAAAGATATTTAGTATTTCAACACTGGGTAGATTTGTGGAATTGCTATATGATTATATTTAATTGGTTTTCAAACTTCCTTGGGAAGACATCAGCAAACTCACACTGAAGATAAGCCCTATGAGTGTTGGACTGTGTACTTACTTTTGTTTGTAGTTGTACACTTTCTTGTGGTAGGTACTGCACTACAGGAAAACATAATAATGAAAAAGGAATGTAAGGTTATTTAAGACTGAGTTAGTCTCATTCCATTCATATATGCAAAAAAATCTTAAATAAAATGATACTATAAATGGGGGTCATTTATAAAAAAACCCTTACCATCAAAGGTTCTTCAAAGAGACAAAACATCTCATACTGAAGGAGAGCACCACGAATGTAAAACTTAAAATCTGATTCCTTGTTACAATAAAACAAATTTATAAAATTAATTTATACAGATATTAAAATGCATCAGTGTTATGTACATGGTAAATCTTTTACATGTCTCTACTATTTTCACAGGAATGAAAGAAACCATAATGTAGAGAAACCCTCTGAATATACCCAAGATGATAAAGCGTTTGCATGTTATAATCATCTTCAAAGCTATGAAAAAATTCATTCTACAGAGAAGTCCTATGATGTTATTCAATATGATGAAGGCTTTGCAGCTACCACTTGTCTCCAAATACTTAGAAGAACACATGCTAGAGAGAAACCCCACACATGTAATCAATGTGGTAAAGCCTTTTCACAGAACAATCATCTTCAAGTACATCAAAGGACACATACTGGAGAGAAACCTTATCAATGTAATCAATGTGATAAAGCTTTTTCAAAACACTCTAACCTCCAAATACATGAAAGAACACAGACTAAAGAGAAACCCCATGAATGTAATGAATGCGGTAAAGTCTTTGCACGTCAATATAATCTCCAACTTCACAAAAGAAGACATACTGGAGAAAATACCTCCACGTGTAATCAATGTGGTAAAGTCTTTTTACAACTCAGTAGTCTCCGAGTACATCAGAGGACACATACTGGAGAGAAACCCTATACATGTAATCAATGTGGTAAAGCCTTTTTACAGAACTGTCATCTTCAAGTACATCAAAGGACACATACTGGAGAGAAACCCTATACATGTAATCAATGTGGTAAAGCCTTTTCACAGAACAGTAATCTTCGAATACATCAAAGGACACATACTGGAGAGAAACCTTATAAATGTAATCAATGTGATGAAGCTTTTGTGAGTCATGGTGAGCTTCACAGACATAAAAGAAGACATACTGGAAAGAAGCCCTTTGAATGTAATCAATGTGATAAAGCTTTTTTAGAGCGCTCCAAACTCCAAAGACACAAAAGAACACATACTGGAGAGAAACCCTATGAATGTAATCAATGTGGTAAAGCCTTTTCATATATCAATAGTCTCCAAGTTCACAAAAGAACACATACTGGAGAAAAGCCATATGAATGTGATCAATGTGATAAAGCCTTTTCACAATTCAGTAGTCTACAAACACATAAAAGAATACATACTGGAGAGAAGCCTTATAAATGTAATCAATGTGATAAAGCCTTTTCACATTGCAGTAGTCTAAAATCACATAAAAGAACACATACTGGAGAGAAACCTTATAAATGTAATCAATGTAGTAAGGCCTTTGCATGTCGTAAAAGTGTATGCATCCATAAAGGAACACATGCTGAATAGAAACCCTACAATTTTAGCAAATGTGGTAGAGCCTTTGTATGTGGCAACAGGCTTTAAATCTTGAGAAAAAATCATACTGCAAAGAAACCTTTTTTTTTAATTTTTGAGACAGTGTTTCTCTGTAACATTGGAATCTGTTGTGGAACTCACGTATAGAAGAGGCTGGCCTTACACTCACAGAGATTTGTCTGTCTCCCAAGTGCTGGATTACAGGGGTGTGCCTCCACAGTTTAGCCTGTCAAACGTTTTAAGTGCAATCGGTGTGGTAAAGTTTTCTTCTTCTTGGTAGTCTTTATACAAGAGTAAACGTTTGGTGGAAAAGAGGTCTATTAAGGCCTTTGCATATCACAGTACTCTGAGGTACTCAGAAGATTCCTACTAAAGGGACTGTAACTGTAAATGTTTTTGAAATATCTTCATCCAATACACATTTACTTACATAAGACTGAGAAGAAAACAAGTCTACAAGTATCATAACTGTTCAAGCATTATAAAGTCTCTATTTTGTTCACACCTGCAAAATTATATGGACAGAAGTCCTATGAATTCACTGATAAGGTAACTATTTTTGATTTTGCACTTTTCTTCAATTATATAAATACAGCTATCTCTAGAAATTAGCTGACTTTGGGAAGTAACCAGGCTACCTTAATGATAAACAATTATATTTTTATTTATTATAAGAGAAAACTCATGCCACAGGAATGGAAAGTCCAAGTTCCACTGTGTCCTATGGGAATCACCCAGATAGCAAGCACCTGGTCTACCCCAGTGTTTTATCCTGGGCTCCAGGAAGCCATGCCTTAACTAGATTCCACTTCTTTAAGATGATTGGTTAACAAAGCTTCCCCTATTACTTATCCAGATGTAAAATTTGGTAGATGGGTATGAGTGCCTCTTCTGTGTCTGTGATGAATCATAATGTCTAAGTCACTTAATAAAAGCGTTTAATGTGACTCTGGGTTCCAGACGGTTACATGATTACTTTGACAGTGTTGTCACAAGAAGTCTCAGACATGACACCTACACCGGGAAGTGAAGGACTCATATACTTAGCCTGTATCATGAACCAGGTATAGGATCTTGAAATGGTGTGTGAATGTATACTCTCAGTAAAAAACCCATGACATTTCTTCCAGTATGACAATATGTTCTAAATTTTCCCAAATGATGCCACTAATTGAAAATGATTAATTTCTGTAACTTCAAATCTACATTCTTGCTTTTTATTGCATGAACCAAATCATCATTGAGAAAAACTGTGGAAATAAGCCTTTAATACCTCAACACCTGGGTTACAGGAATGCATGCTTAGAGGAGGAAAATATTCATGAGCGAAGAATTGTTTAAAGATTTTATTTAATTTTAATCATGTTATTTTAGTGTGCCTTGGTTTGGGAAAATAAATATTTATGCTTGCTCCCAGGAAGGTTAGACCATTGGGTATTCTTGTTGCAGGCAGGACTATAGAAACTTCTGAAAAACCTAACCTTCATCCTGACGATGAACTTGTCCTAAATTATTGTCTATGTCTTTGCCCTGTATATATGTTAAAGACATTTTTTATCATCTTAACATCAGATAATAGGGAAGAACTCATGAAAGAGAAAAACCTTTGTGTTAATAATATGGTAAAGACTTTAGACATCATTTAGAGGTCTTTATTGTCCAGAAATTCTTTATATATTTTTCATCATGAAGGTTTGTCATTTACTCTCTTCACTCAAGTCTGATGGTGGAAATTTCTCCATTACAATTTCTGGTTAGTGAGAGATATTAAAGTGTTCTATACATTTAGCAAATCCTTTCAATGAAGTTTATTTTGTGCTCTTTGTTTTCTCTCTGTGATTTTTGTACATCTCCCACTGTGCTTTCACTAAGTGATAGGTATTTTTCTGCTTAAATATATAGAATGAGATGTCCATAATCTAAGTGAAACATTTATTTAATGTTCGATAGTGTATATTCATTCCTTTTAAGTAATGCTGTCTGCGAAAGGGTGATGAAATTTTTTCCTGCATTTGTTTTTCATCTTTTCACAAATTCCCATGAGATGCCATTTGCTATCCAGTCTAGCTTGTATGTCATTAATTAGTTATTAATAGATCTGAACTCATAATCATCATGGGCCAGTCTCTTGAATATAAGTACAAGGGTACATGTTAGACCCCAACATTTGCTGTTTCGTCTACATATCTTATCAAAATTAATGTTAAAATGCATAATAGGATAGATTATAGCAAACATTACCTCATATGTGTATCCACAGCATCATTTTCATCAAACTGGTAGAGATATGAAATATTAGATAATCAGTAATGTATTGAATATTTTAAAGTATAGCTTGATATCCTGTGGATATGTATACATTATGTGAAGCTCTATGCATCTTCCTGTCCCCATTATTTATCCATTTTTCACATCATCATGAAGTGCTTCCTTCTAAGGGAATTATCCGGAGATGCCAGGTAATGAAACATCAATGAGATTTATTTGAAAAAAGTTTCTGTTATATGTAAGTGTGATATAATTATGGAATTTTAGCCCTGACACATGTGAAGACCATAAGACAAGTTTTTGGGGTGCCTCTTGGCTTTCCTCATATGGTAATCAAGATTAGGTCACCTGGCTTGCAAACCACACACATTTCCCACTAAGTCAGTACCCTGATTAATTGAAACATTCTATCAGAAAATTATTGCCATTATTAAGATTGTAAACATGATTTAATTGAAGAAAAGAGGAATGACAACAACTTAAATAATAAAGCATATGTTCAAGGAAACTGATAAACTGCTATCTCTTCTTTTGTTTTTCCCTTTTTTGTAGAATGTGTTATCCTTAGGACTCAACACTTGTTTTCACATTTTCTCAGAACCTCATTGAATACCATAATATTTCTCAGTACAGGAAGGTTTTTGCTGCTGTTTGATGACTTGTTTGTCATTGATTATACTGAGTATAAAGTGGAGGTAAAAGTGGAGGCCATCAGAGGGTATCTGATCCCCTTTCACTGGAGTTAAAGAGAATTGTGAGCGATTTTGTGGATTCTGGAAATCAAAGTCAGGCCCTGTGGATGAGCAACCAGTGTTCTCATCTGCTGAGCCATCTACTCGGCCTAGTGAACATGTCATTATAGCGGTAAGGTGTGAATGGGTGATCCTAAGTTCTTCTTTGCCTCACCTCTTATGACCCAAAAGAAATACAATATGGGAAGCATCAGAAACCAGCTTAGAAATATGCACAAAGATGTCTTTGAGCCCAAATCTCCATAAAACAATGGAACAGTACAAAAATTTTTCAGGAGAGAAACTGAAAATATAAGTGTTTAAAGAGTGACAGACTCTTAATGAAATCACAAACCTGAGTTTAGCCCAAAGTTGGTAAATAGTCAGCAATCGGATACCCCAAGTATACAGGGCAGGTGGAGCCCTGCTTTAGTTTATGCCTCCTTTATGGAGATAAAGGGAATTTACAGGCATGAAGAATGAGTTTTCTGAATGTGATCATAGTCTGCTTCCCTGATGACTGTAAAACTTTCAATTAGGAGACTTGAATGGTGGTGACTTCAAATGATGCACAGATTTTCAAAAAATTCTGATACTTAAAAAGAAGTCACTGTAAGGCTTGGACAATCAGGCATTTATAGAGAGAGAGCTGTGGAGTATTGAATTGTTAGGGAGAAACCTTTGCCCACTAAAACCCAATCAAATAGGCAGAGGCAATGCTTGGGGTGTACCTGAGCACAGACTCCCTCCTACTGTGCTCTCTGTATCCACTCAACTGTGGTGAAAGGCATTTAGGTTATATAAAGATTTGGATATTAAGAATAGTGCTGCTATGAACATAGTTGATCATGTATCCTTGTGGTATGATTGAGAATACATTAGGTATGTACCCAATAGTGATAATGCTGGATCTTGAGAGTAGATTGATTCCCAATTTTCTGATAAACCACCATATTGATTTCAAGTTGACTGCACAATTATGCACTTCCACCAGCAATAGAGGAATGTCCCACTTACTCCACATCTTCTCCAACAAAAGCCGTCCTCCGTGTTTTTGGTCTTATTTACTCAAACAGGTGTACGATGGTATCTCTATTGACTAAGTATGTTGAGCAATTTCTCAAAGTCTTTGCCAATTAAGAGTCTTCACTTGGGAACTCTCTGTCATTATCCTTTCCTATCTATTTTTAATTGGATTATTAGGTATTTTATGGCTAGATTTTTGAGTTATATATTGGATTTTTAGTTTTTAAATTTTTCTTAATTTAAATTTTGATAATCAAATACACACACACACACACACACACACACACACACATTGAATTTCTGGTTGTTCCAAACCTCACTTGGTAGTTTAGACTGTCCTAGGACATAAGTGAGGTCTTCACACATTGTCTCCAGAGTGTATGCATAATACATGCGCACAGCACATCAGGATAACATGTTTTTTTAATTGGCTTAATGAGAATGAGTGTCTGAGCCTGGTTAGTTTAGGAAGCCAGAGCATAGACTCTGGTCCTAATTCAAGTCACAAAATGGCTCCCATCAAACACAATACTTCTTCCATAACGTCTACTCTTTTCAACTATTTAAACGAAAGTTTTTCTTTATCATTGAGTCAATTATAACTAATCAAGGGACTAGCACATAGTTCTGAATTTATTCAAAAGATAGTAAAACACAGGCTTACAGAGATCAGTGCTCTTATAATGTAGTTAACTGCAATGCTCTTTTTATTCATCCCATCTTTCTTATGCCTGACTAAATGAAGCTGGAACAATCTAAGTCAAACATGGTGGCACAGACATGTAGTCATGGGACTAAGAAAGTGGAGGCAGGAACTTCAGGATTTTTAAGTTATCTTAGATGGGAATGGTGAATAGGGTGTGGAGGGAGGCCCAGAGTTCCAAGGAAGACTGTGATTCGCTGAGATCAACGTTCAGAGTGTTTGCTGCGGGGCTAGAATTTCAGAGTCATTAATTACACCAGCAA